GTAAAACCTTCCAGAATAGGGCTGGTCAGGAATTTTTCAATTAAGATTTTTTATCAGAAAATGCTGATTTGTCAAAAATAAAACTTTTTGAAGAAAAGTATCAGATTTCACAAAACTTTCATTGGGAAGATTTCTCAGGTACAGAATCCAGTAACCATGAATGGTGCACTAATTCAAAATATATTCTGAGTGGTCATTTGAGGGGTAACTAGAGCTGGTTGAAAATTGGAATTTCCATTTTGCAGGAAATATTGACTTTTTGAAATTTGTTTTTGTTCCAAATAGAAATAAGGGGAAAGAAAAAAAACTACTGTTTTCAAAGTGTCCTGTGAAACAGAACTTCTGAAATATTTCCATTTCAGAAAATTTTCATTTTGGAAAATTTCAGAATTTCAGTTTAGAATTCTAGTTTTTCAGTTTGAAATTTAATTTCTGTTTTTTAAATCGTTTTATATTATTTTACATTATGACATGTCACTACTAGTAGTGCAATATCCACATGAAATAATGTAAAATAATAAAAATAATTTTAAAATGATGATAAAATTCAAATTGAAATGATTACCTGTTCTGTTCATTCTCTCTGGGGCACTTGGCATTGATCACTGTCAGAAGACAGGATACTGGGCTAGATGGACCTTTGGTCTGATCCAGTATGGCCATTCTTATGTTCTTATGCTTGTGGTATCTTGTCCTTGGCCATCAACCATCAACTTAATGGGACATCAATGATCAAACAACAATAGTTGCAAAGCTCAATTTTCTGTGATTTAACATGTATTTTTGTTAAATCTCTGCTTCTAAAACAGACACGGTGCAAAGGAAGATCTGTTTGACATGTAAATAAGTCAACCAAATCAATCATAAGAAATATACCGTAAAACTACACCGCCAATCCATGAAGTGACTGAACTTCAAAATGCTTTTCAACTAGCAAAACTTTCTTACATTACTAGCATATAAAGTTGAACTGTTAGATTCTATCAGAGGAATTAACTATTCAGATCCTCCAGATCACAGTACTGTTGAAATTGCCCTAAAGCAAAAGGAAGAGGAGGAGGAAGAACTAAGTTCAAACCCTATATTGCATATCACTGACCTAAGAGCCCTTTGCCTGGTTTTGCACATCAATAGCCACCCTATATCAGCAAGTGACATACATTTTTAGAAAAACAATGAGGAGTCCTTGTGGCACCCTAGAGACTAACACATTTATTTGGGCATAAGCTTTTGTGGGCTAGAACCCACTTCATCAGATGCATGGAGTGGAAAATACAGTAGCAGGTATATATACATAGTAAATGGAAAGATGGTAGTTGCCTTACCAAGTCAGGGGGTCAGTCTAACAAGATAATTCAATTAACAGTAGAATACCAAAGGAGGAAAAATCACTTTTGTAGTGGTAATGAGGGTCGCCCATTTCAAAGAGTTTTTAGCCTTCTCTTGGCCAATTTGCATATCATTACACTGGTCTACAATTTTTGAGACGTCGTCTGCTTCAGAGATAAAATGTGCTATTTATTATGTATTTTGATGTGCTGCATTCAAATATGACAATTAAAACAACTGATTGGCTACTGTTTCTAAGATATTTAAGTTTTTACATTTTATATCTATGTATATTGTGTAGATAGTAGAGTTTTAATCATAAATTGTAAATCTAGGTCTTTTCATGTGTTTATGGTTGCTTTACATGATAATATTTCACCTGTCCTGTTTATGTAACACTTTAAAAATCAGCAAAAGGGTTATACAAATAAAATTTATTATGAAACAAAAGGCAAAAAACTATTATGTACATAGTTTAGTTTACTGTCCAAACCCAGTCATAGATTTATTCATAGATCCAGTCAAAGACGTATTTTAGTCATTTCTGGTTTAAATTGAGATCCCTTCCCTTTATAACTCACTTATCCTCCGCCATTCCCAAGTCAAGGGTCGTATATACTGACCCAATAACATATCTTGAAAACTAGAGCCAATCAACAATTTTAAGCATCATTTTCGTTCTCAGTGACCCAGAATTAGTAAAGTTTGACTACATTTATTTCAGAAACATTTTGGCTGTAGAGCAGTGTTATTTGCAAAGTCAGGGTCCCAGTTGGAATATGATGTAAGTGTAAGTATGCTCCACTGAATGATGTATTTTAGAGTATCCTCCATGGTTTTGAAAGAAGCTCTTGTATAGTTTTATGTTCTCTTTGTGCTATACTACTTCCTGTATTGCTAGACGTTCTATAGAAGTAGCATGAAAAGTCTTTTAGAAGCCTTTTGGCCACCTCAAGGACATAACAGACTCTACTAAAGCATTTTTTTTCCCCCATGAGCACTGCAAGTTATGGGTGATAAAAACATTGCAAATCAGAACAGTTCTAGCACCCAGATTTTATACATAGCAACATGTCATAGGTTATAAAATATATTATTTCACTGTGTCATTACTATTACTGCATTATTTTTAAAATATTATTTATTTATTTATTTCAGATCTAGGATTCCTGCATTCTTTTAGGTTTTGATCCTTTTTTTTCTTCTTAAGAGCAAACATTCCTCTTTTAATAGTTTGTCTGCTGAAGAAATATCCCAACTTCTTCTGCAACCACCTAGGATTACCTTTTAGGATGTGTCACCCTTAGTTATATAAGAATGCTTTAAAACTCTGAGGAATTTTGGGTACTGAGTCGCTGGGAAGGAAGTAATAATTGATAACATGGCTAGATAAATACTGCCACTAAAGGAGATGTAGTATATTCTTTTACATGGTGTTTCAGTTTTTGATCCTTTATATTAATTTGGTATGCATTGAATTACCATTTAAAATAAAAGGCCAATGGATGATTGTATTCCCTTATTACCTGGAACACTTGAACTAATTTAAAATAATGCTGCATATTATCTAAAAGCATTTAGTCAAATATATAGAGGGGGTCAAACTTAGGCCAGCACAGTTAAAGCAAATTGAATTCCATCTTGAGAATGAATTTCAAATAGATTTTTAATTGCAGTATTTTATCCAGAGAGTGTTACCTCAAACATTTCCTTTATGTATTATACCCACCAGATTATGTCCTTCATCAGAACACCAGAGCTCTCCTCATGACAAAATTGTTGCTGTAAGACTGCACAAAAACACAGATGTGCTTTCTCTTTCATCTTACTGTTATGAAGAAAGTATCAGAGGCCAAATCGTATGAGATTCTTATGAGGGCTGGATCACCCCCTTGTGTGGTAAAACCCACTGGAGGGATGATAAAGGATAAGGAAACTCTAAGGATCATCACAGAGTTTCTACCTGTTTTATTCATAATGGGAACAGGACTTGCACCTTACAGATGGAGCCACAGGGCACACCCCCAAAATATGGATCCTCTGGGAGGAAGCCTCGGCCATCTATATGGAGGTCCCCAGTGACCATCCTGCTTCCTGTCAGCTTGTCATGGAACTTGACAGGCACTAGTGATTGTCCAGGGAGTTTTGCAGTAAAGGTAATGCAGTCTTAGGCTGTAGTATCTTTCCTGGGGTATGATATATATCCACTCACAAACACATCAACACAGGGCCACCTAGTCTCTTCCTCCTCCCTCTACAATGGATCCCAACCCCACTGGGACTTGAAAAGTGCAGACGCTGCCATGGAGACAGAGGTCTCTATTCTTAAATGCTAGAGAAAAGGGAGAAACGTGCACAGAAAATATATTGTGGTGGGTTTCTGGCATTTACTCAACCCTTACTTAAAGCAAATAGGTAAAAATTGCATTAAAATCTCATGTTTCAGTCCCAGGAAACTATATTTCAAGTATATTGCATCCAACAGTCAAGAGCAAGACAGACACTTAAGCATTCCCACCAGTAATCTTAGAAACCTTTTCCTGAGAATTAAATGGTTTGCAAAAGTTGATGAACATTATTAAAAGTAAATGTAATACTTGAAGTTGACTGTCTTTTAGAATGCACTATGACGAGTATATCTTTGAAAACAAACTTCTGGCTAGATTATTATAAATGTTTGTACTAAACCTAATTTTGTTTTGAATAAATCTTTACTATATCATCTACATGATAAAATTGTGGGGTGGGGAGAGAGTAGATTTTTAGAAATACATTATTTTGTAGTATTTTTGTTTAGTGTGGTTAGATTTGTATGGGGTTTTGTAGTAGTTAAGGTGTTCAATTCCAGAGACATGCCACCATTTCTCTTTGGCTATCATCGTTATTAAAAAGACACTGACAAATATTTTAGTAGCGGTCTCTTTTTATATTTTATTGTTTGTAGTACTCTCTTACAAATGAAATTCACCCATGTACAGAGGGCCTATGTGTAGTTTATGTACCACTTATATTTCACCTAAGTTCTCAAAATAGGTCTGTAGAGTTTTTCTTTTAACCTCTCTACACAGGGCCCTTCACTCACGTTCTAATGGTCCTCACACCTGGTTAATGTTATGGACACCAAAACTATCATGAGGGTGATGACATTCTACAAAATGGATGATACGTGGCATAACAGAAAGGCAAGGGAGATAGCATGCAAGGCCTCGATTCAGGAAGATATTGAAACATATGCTTAATTTTAAGCTTAAAATTCAGAACATACTTTAGTAGTAAAGTATCTTCCTGAACTGGAACATACTTCACATGGAAGTAGACAGCATGGAGGGGGAACATCTGACCAGGATGAAAATGCTCCTGTTACACTGCTTATCAAGTCAAGTGGCCTTCCTGTGAAATGCACCCTGAAGTGAGTTTAGTTTGGATCAGGCCTGAGATTTGCTGCTTTGTAATCATTCTGCCAATTGAAGTCATTGGGAGTTTTGTAACTGATTTCAGTGGGAGTTGGATCAGACCCTTGATGCTCTGCTATTACTGCCAAATTGTGCATTATCACCATATAAAGTGCAATAGATCCATTAGAGCCTTTTAAATCCATCATTTAAATGCTATAAAATGTAATATGTGTGTGTATAGATATATATTTTAAATATCTGTTATTTACTTAACAGACTTGATTCAAAGGAACCTTTCCTGTCTGTTGGGTGAGTATGTTTATTTATGTATCTATATCTATATGTTTTTAATAATTATACAATATTGTTGACCCCATTAAACCCAATACAATGTAAAATGTTGAAATGTTAAGTTCTGTCATGTAGTCATTCATTACTATACCTAAGCTTGGAAAGCATAAATTTTAATCAGTAAATGTCAGCAGACATTGATTTCTCCTTCTACCCAAACATGACAAAAATATTTTGTTTTTCTGATTAACTGAAATGAACAGAGGAAATTTTACATATATGTTAGATAATGCTCTTGTAGACAACTGTTGTACTAGTTGTCTTGATGTTGTTCTACCAGTTAATATGAATTTCATATTATCAAATAGTTCTTTATTAATTTTAGTATGAATTTTGACAGTATTTTTAATACAATTAATATGCTGTTTTTAAAAGTTCTCTACTAGTGCAAAAATAAGTTGATAAAACTATTTGTAAATATTGCTGTTTTTCATTCAAATTTGTAAAATATAAAATCAGATCTTTTCAAGCTTATGAACCATGTCTATATTGGTATGTGTATTAAAAACATTTATAAAACTTGTAACCTCACATGCACTGTCACCAATTTTCATACTTTGACAATTCAAGCAATTGATTCATCTGTTTTAAAACATTATTTTTAAATATGTTGTATTCTGGAAAACAGTACTTACTTGGTAAATGCACCTACATTTGTAAGGTAAGTATTAGTATTGTATGTTTGAGTCACAGCTACATTCTTCTTCGTCTGTCTTCCCTGTATCAGTATCACTTTTCTCTAAATCTACTCTAACTCACTGTTTTCTCTCTTTCTTCTTTCCACTTCACTGTCCTTGTTTTTTTCTATCCAATTCTGTCTTCTTGGTCTCTTCTCATTCCCTCATGCTTTCTCCTTGTTTCTCAGTCCTCAAAACTGTAGTATTGTATACTGCTAAGAATATATACAACAGGCAAAGGGTCCTGATGCAAAGTAGTCAGCTAATCTGAGCACATAAATGATCTGTAACTTCCAAACCATGGTATAAAACCAATCAAGAAATGCTCCATAACCTGTATATATAAAATAAAAGCAAACAAAAGAAGCATGTTAGTTATGGAGTCAAAAATGTAGTGAAAATAGGGACCAGATTCTGCAAAAATTTCTGTCCACAAATAACCGAACTCATATGAGTCGTCTCAATGATGAAAATGGGATTGTTACATGAATAAAATTACACACATCAGTGTATGACAGATTATGCCTAATCTTTCTTCGTTTCTGCCATATAAAATAACTAAGATTTTTTTGGTCATATCTTGAATCAATTGCACACTTTTTTTACTTTATTTACTTTTGACATATAATTTAATCTGTTTTTTTCTTTAGGTGCTCAGAAATGTCTAAAGTGAATAAAATGCTTTTTTAACTTTGTTCTTATTCTTGCACTGGCATAATCTGAAATGACCAAATGAATTGTTTCACCAATTTGTGTGACTAATTCTCACAATTTATCAATTACCATGATATTTGGTGTTTTTCTCAAAACTCCAGCTTCTGAAGTCAGGTGGTTAGATGAAAATCTCTGTTTTCATTTTAAAAAATAAGTTTATATCCCTTGTGGTTGTAGGAAAAAATCAAAACTTGGCACAAGTGTACCATAGAGGCTCAAAAACCAGAAGGCAGATAAAGAAAAATATCTCATAATTAATAATTTATAATCGCATAATTTTGGGGGACTATTTTATGATTTTTGAATGTCTGGGGTTGACAATACTGCATTTGGTTTTAGCTACCACTCTGTAGAGTCAATTTACCCCCAACACAACATAACAACTCTGTGATTTTACTGCTCAAATAGCTGCTTCCCAGGAGGGATAATCTGAACAATGAACCTAGGCTCTATGCAGAACTGTGCAGAGGTTTGTCTGGGGCACCTCCTTTTATAAGGCATTGTTTTCCTCAGTTGTAATTATCATATGTCAAAATGCAAAAACTTCCCTCATCTGTAACTTCCTTGCCTATTACTTGCCTTTTGCCATTCCTACATAGCCAGGAAGAAGAAGCAGACTTGCTGAGTCATAGGCCTGAGTAAACAGGTCTCCTTAGCGCTGAGTCAGGGACTTACTCCACCTAATTGCAAACTGATTTTTGTTTTAACTTGTTCAGAGACTTTGCTCCTATGCTGAGATGTTAGATTGCAAGTTTCAGCCCAGAGTGACAGCTGAAGCCATAAACCCCTGAAACTACATTAAGTGCTAGTTATAGAGTTACTGCCTCAACCTTAATTAGAATAGCACGTGTGTTCCCTGTAATGTCCCTTTTAGAGTAGGCCAAAGCAGCTATCTAAATTAATTTTGGTTGCTTACCGATGATTTGGTTCTGCAGGTGAGCTTTTCGTTTATCTCCACTGTGCAGTGGAGACTTGCTTGCACCTTCTCATTTTACTGCTAGCGAATGATAATTATACTTTTTTATTATTATTATTGCTGTGCCTAGGCTAATGACCAATAGGGATCTTCATGATTGCTTTTGTGCGTTTGTAATTGTGCATGATAGTGCAAAGCAATATTAAATGTAGCAACCTAAATGCCAAAGGCTAAGTAGACGTGTGTAGAAGTGATGAGGAGCTGTACTGCCCCAGTGGGAGCTACAGTGAGCATAGGCAGAGACTCATGGATTGTCTACACAGGGACACTCAGAAGAATTAATCTGAATTAACTAAAGGTGTGAATTTAAAGAGGTGTAGTTAAAGCAAAAAGAAGGCTGAGGAGAGATATAATTGCTCTCTATAAATATATCAGAGGAATAAATACCAGAGGGAGAGGAATTATTTAAACTCAGTACCAATGTGGACACAAGAATAAATGGATATAAACTATAAACTATAAAATCAGGAAGTTTAGACTTGAAATTAGACGAAGGTTTCTAACCATCAGAGGAGTGAAGTTCTGGAACAGCCTTCCAAGGGGAGCAGTGGGGGCAAAAGACATATCTGGCTTCAAGACTAAGCTTGATAAGTTTATGGAGGGGATGGTATGATGGGATAGCCTAATTTTGGCAGTTAATTGATCTTTGACTATTAACAGTAAATATACCCAATGGCCTGTGATGGGATGTTAGATGGGGTGGGATCTGAGTTACTACAGAGAATTCTTTCCTGGATGTCTGGCTGGTGAGTCTTGCCCACATGCTCAGGGTTTAGCTGATCGCCATATTTGGCGTCGGGAAGGAATTTTCCTCCAGGGAACATTGGCAGAGGCCCTGGGGGGGTTTCGCCTTCCTCTACAGCATGGGGCCCGGGTCACGTGCTGGAGGATTCTCTGCACCTTGAAGTCTTTAAACCATGATTTGAGGACTTCAATAGCTCAGACATAGGTTAGGGGTTTGGTACAGGAGTGGGTGGATGAGATTCTGTGGCCTGCGTTGTGCAGAAGGTCAGACTAGATGATCATAATGGTCCCTTCGGACCCTAAAGTCTATGATTCTATGATTCTAAAGCACCGTAAGCCCCCATGAGGACACTCTTAAGGCTTGTCTACAGTTAAAACGCTGCAGCTGTGCGGTTTTAGTGTTTCAGTGAAGACACTTCCTACACTGACAGGAGGGCTTCTCCCGTCAGCATAGGTAAGCCACCTCCCCCAAACGACGGCAGCTATGTCAATGGGGGAATTCCCCAACAACCTATCACTGTCTACACCAGGGGTTAGGTCATTTCACACCCCTGAGTGAAAAGTTATTCTGACCTAATTTCCTAGTGTAGATCAGGCCTTATTCAGAATAACAGTAGCTGTAGGACTTGTTACATAGTGAAGCAATGTGCACTACAGGGTGCAACTTCTAAAACACGCTAATGTGTTGTGCACTAATTGGTCTGTGTAGACCTTACTGGCATGCACTAGAAGTTCACTGGTGGACTTTCACACCACTGTTTCAAGCACTAGAGAATTTTTAGCATGTGCCAACAGGGTCCACGTTGATCAATTAGCGCACAATACATTAGTGTGCTTTAGAAATCATACACCTGTAGTGCACCATGTAGACAAACCCTTTATTCTGTTTACCTTAATCCACTTTGAAAATTAATTTGGATTAACTTTCCTGAGTGTCTCCATGCAGACAAGTCCTTAGAATGGTGTGGCGTTTATTCTCCTTTCCAAGGGTGGCCATTTTCACAGGCAAAGGTGGAGGAGAATGATGCCCATTTCCTCTTTGCCCCTCACCACCCTCCTAGGGCAATTTGCACACCTGGAGGACATGTGGTCATAGTCCCTACATCTCCTGAACAAAGAAGATGTGGTTATCATCAGCCAGAAGGTACCACTTGATCATCTAGCCTGACCTGCTTTATTACGCAGGCCATAGAACTTCCCAGAATTAATTCCTGCTTGATCTAGAGTATTTTGGTAGGTTTTTTTTTTAGAAAAACATCCAGTTTTGATTTAAAAATTTCTACCACAATCCTGGGTAAATTGTTACAATGATTGATTACCCTCACTGCTAAAAATTTGTACCTTATTTGCTGCCTTTTAATATGTCACATTTGGGTTCCATTCAGAAGGGGCATAAAAGGAAGAGAGAGAAATACAGCTGATTTTTTTATGGCTTTCAGCCCCTGCCAGCTGCACAGAATAGGTTTACTTGATAAACCGGCAGTAGCTCTTCACAGTGATTGGCTTTGAAAATCCATTTGCTTCGAACATCTTGTCAGCTGAGAGTCAAGCTATTTCTCCTCCTTTTGTGTAGATGTTTAAAAAAATCAAATCCAAACTGCTGATTTTTCAGATCTTTTTTCAAGCATAGTCATTTGCGATCAACGTTACACATTTGGAAGAGGGATGATCTAGGGATGGGGAAAGTGGGCTGGGGTGGGATAGAGTGGGATGTGAAATGAGTTGGTGGTCAGAGTTTATTAGGGGTTGTCTACACATGAGAGTTAATTCGGATTAAGTTATGTGTCTGAGTTTAATGCACAATAGTTATTCTTGAATAACTCCATGTGTGGACACTCATATTCCAG